CTTGAGTTCCTTAATTTTAATGATAATATAACTCCTTTCTTTTCATGAATTACTTCTTCCTTGCCTCTTGAATTGAATTAATGGTGAATGAGGGGGACATTGCTTAATTAACCCTAATTTGTTTAAGGAGATTCTAAACTAGGGATTGCTTAATCCTAGGTTTAATTCTAAGGTTGCGTAATCTTGGGATGATGAATTAGAGCCTAAAAAACTGCGTAATTTTGTTAGGATCATAAGGTTGATTTTCGCTTGTTAAATTAACCTAATTCATAGGAGAGATGATGGGTGTTAAATCTTGAGTGGAACGAAGATAGAATCTATGTGGATGAACTAAGGATTGCTACTTTCTATTGTTTGAATTAATTAAACTTGTTTGCTTGCTGCTCTTTATATTGATTTGAAACCACAAAACCCACCTCATTTTAATTGCTTGTTCAATTAATGCCTTCAACATGTTTAATGAAGATTAATAGCCAATGTTCACGGGAGAAAATCTAAGGTAACCCTAGTACTACATTAATTTGTTTAAATTTTGATGAGGATTTGTGATAAATCTTTTAAATACAACAAGAAACCGCTTATCACAGACCAAGAAGCTTCTAGTTTTAACCATGGCACTGCTACAAACTAGCAAAATTGGGGCTTCTTGAAACTAGCAATAATCATGCCAAGGATGCTACAAATCAAAGGTCTCATTTTCTATTCTTTACTCATTTTAACTAATACCATAAGCTTATTTAATGAAACCACATTGAGAATGACGAGCTCATAACAATGATCCAAATATAACAATTGGTAAGAAATTTGGTGTAGAAGATGATGAACAAGAATTTGAAATATTGGTTTCAAGGTACAAAATTAGTCGCTATTTTTAGGGAGATATTCGCCCCCACACAAAGTTGTTAAGGGTTGATGACGATACTCTCCCAAGATACAATGAAACCTTTAAATTTCTTGTTTAGCAATAACAAGAAATTTTCTCTCTTGAACTTGAAATTTAAGAACACCCGAACTCACATGTTACACACAGTAAAAGTCCGTCACGTGTTTAATAATGGAGATTATTTATAATTGAGGATTTAGTCGCAAGTGAACAATTACATATTTTTACTTGAAATTCATGTCTTTAAAACTAAGAGATACCATATGGAATTTGAAATTCATATCCTTTCATCATATGATGTCATTAAAGGCATTGTACGTGAACCAACACACTTGTTCATAGTTAATGACCATTTTAACTTTCTTAATTATTTAAATCATCTACATTTAAACTTATAAATATATTTCAACCCCCCACTACTTTACAAGTTTAAAATCAATTTATGCATAAAGAATATATCACAAGGATTAAACATTCCTTTAGTGTAAACTTTAAAAGTTCTAACAGAGTAATAAGCGTCTAATTGATTAAAATTTTGTTCTCTATGTTGGTACCAAAAATTTTACACACATAAATTGTATTTCTTATCAAGTTCAAAAATTTGTTAATTTTAAGCACTTTTATAGCCATGTGCTTATCCTGGTTTCATGAATATTTACGAGAATAAAACCTCTAAAATTCTCGAACGAAGTGGCACCACTTCTATAATTACGTAGGTGGAATCATTTGATAAATAATATTATCAATTCATTAAGAGTTTTAACTCACCTTCATATATATATATATATATATATGGCACTAAATCCTATATCTTAGTGCTCCAATTGTTAAATAACTTGTTGTTGCCCATTAAGCCTTGAAACTAGTTTCTACTAGAATAAGCTTAGGTTCCTATCATTTAACAATTATAGGTTTTAATTCCATTTTACTAGTAAATCTCTTTGACCCTATCCCTTGACAAACCTTTAGTCAGTAGGTCTGCTAAATTCTGTTGGAATTTTATGTATGTGATGGTAATTATACCATCTCTTATTAATTGTCTCACATACTCATGTCTTAAGTTTATATGTCTAGACTTTCCATTATAAACTTTGTTATGTACTTGAGACATGGTTGATTCACTATCACAGAAGATCAAAATGGCATTCATTTGTTGTGACCACAACTTTATATCATATAATAAATTCTTAAGACATTCTACTTTTTTACCAGTGGCTTATAAAGCTATAAACTCAATCTCTATAATAGAATATGAAATACATGTTTATTTTTTTAAGGCCTAACTTATTGCTCCACCACCTGTGGTGAAAATTCATGCTGAAGTGAACTTATTATCACTTAGATTTGTAATCCAACTAGCGTCGGAATAACCTTCCAACAAAACATGATGATTGTCGTAATATAATCCCAAGTTTATAGTTTTCTTGAGATAACCAAGAATTATTGTTATAGCTTTCGAATGTTGATTACTTGGTTTTCCTGTAAATCTTGATAGTTTGCATACAGCAAAAGCTATATCTGGTCTAGTGCAATGCATTGCATATATTAAACTTCCTATATGCCTTAGAGTTTTAAGCATATCCTATTAAGATGCCTTTTAAGGCTCTTAGCCCCAATTTAGTTCTCTTTTGATCAGGAACATGATAAAAGGCTAAACATCCTCACACTTTTAAATAATTTAAGTTTGGTTTTCTTCCTTTCCATATTTCATATAGAGAAACCTTTCTATTTCTTGAGGGTATTCTGTTATGAATATGACATGCCGTCAATAGTGCCTCACCCCATAGATTGAGGCACCTTAACATTTAATAACATTGAATTAACCTTATCCATTAAGGTACAATTCTTTCTTATATCTGAAACATGAAGTACATTTACTAAGTTTAATTTTTTTCTCGATGTAAAGTTCAATTCTACTATTCCTTGATATAATACCCTTTCTTGTAGCAATGGTAGCATTCTTTTTGTCTCTTTTTATCTTGCTTGACATCCACAGAGGATTTCTTTCTTTTGCCTTTATTGGCATTTACTTCTCCAACATGGTTCACTTTAAAACTTTGAGAAAGATACACACCATTCATATTTTCGAGTTTCCTCTTTTATACGTAAATGCCTGAGTAATCTTTCAAAAGAGAAATCTTCTCCAAGATATAAGAGTTTCTTCCTATAATTTTCTAAAATGAAAGCAATTTTCAAATAATTGCTCAAACTTGTAATGATTCAGAAACTATTACTTGTAGATTACAAAGTCTACTTACAAGAATTTGTAGCTCATGAACTTAATCCATGATAGGCATATTATCAACCATACTATATTTAAAGTATTTCAACATGATAAATGTATCTGTACTTTGTCGTTCATTATTGTATTTTTCTTATAAAGATTTCCAAATCTCTAACGGTGATTGAATTGACACATAGAGATCATAAAGTCAATTTGACAAAGTATCGAGAATGTGTCCTCATCATGCTTTTTCTTCAATTGGATAATCCTTTCCTTCTCTTCATCGGTTGCATTTTCAGCAGCATTAGAAATTTTTGTGGTATTTGGATAAAGCACGTAAGTAAGATTTAATACTGAAAAAAAGAAACATCATTTTGTCCTTACATCGATTGAAATTTGTCTTATTGAATTGATCTAATTGGACAAACTCTTGAGTCATGACCTTAAAAGTAGTATTTTGATTTTGAGTCATCATCAATATAATCTCTCTCCAAAATTATTAAGAAATTTGGTGTAGAAGAAGATGAATAAGAATTTGAAATACTAGTTTCAAGGCACGAAATCAATCATTATCTTTAAAGAGATATTCAGCTCCACACAAAGTTGCTATGGGTTAATGACTTTACTCCTTAAGAAACAATAAAACCTTTAAATTTCTTGTCTAACAATAACAAGAAATTTTCTCTCTAGGATTATTTATAGTTGAGAATTTAGACGCAAGTAAACAATTATATTTTTTCACTTGAAAGTCATGTCTTTAAAATCAAAAGATACCGTACGAAATTTGAAAGTTATGTCCTTTCATCATCTGATGCCATCAAAGGCATTGTATGCAAACCAATACACTTATTCATGGTAAATGACCGTTTCACCTTTCTTAATTATTTAAATAATATATATTTAAACTTGTAAATACATTTCAACAACCATAACAAAGGACCCAAACCAAAGAATATTATACTATTCTTATACAAAAAATGAAAGCATGAACATCAAACAAGAAAATTTTCATACACAAAAAAGAGGAATTAGAAGCCAATCGATTATCTAATGCATAAGGCAAGAAAATTAAAAAAATCACAAAAACCTTTATAGGGATAAACAAGATAGCCTCTCAGTATCCTTGCGGTGAGTGCCTTTATGAAAGAGAGAGAATTGAAAACTATTTTTGATTGAATCAATTCGTTAGAGTGTGATTGTTGTGTGTGAGTGAGGGAATAGATAAAAAATTAAAAAAAATAAAAAGAGAGTAAGAGAGCGGAAAGAAATTAATTTTATTAATATTTTGTTATAAAAATATTAATTATCTTAGTTGTATTTTTTTAAATTAAAAATCACTATTTTGTATTGATTGTTTACAAAAAGTTATTCTTTATCTTTGTTAATATGTTGTGTTAAAAATTAAAATTTACTAAGATTATTGAAATGTTAACATTTAATTATCCATAAAAAAATGTATTCATTATATTACGATTTATAATTAGAGAAATTTTAAAATAATATAAAAAGAATAAAAATTATAAAAAAATAAATCTTAATGCAAAAAAAAGTTATAGTGTAATAAAGATAAGAATATATTTTTTATTATTTTTGTTTAAAAATAAAGACATGTGATATATTTTTAAAAATTTATAATTTTTCATCAAATTTAAAAATAAAATTAACATTTTTTTAAAAAATGTTACCTAATTCATAATTAATGAGTTAAGGATAAATTTTTTCAAATTAAAATAAAATTTTCAATCAATAGATTAATAATTAAGTATAAATTATAAAAAAATAATTATTCATCAGGGTTTTAAAATAATAATAAAAATAAAATTGTTAGTGTAAATTTTTTTTTCCTCACAAAAGAAAAAGTATAAAATAAAAAATATAGAAGCTGTGTTTCTTTGGTTCCAAATGATTGGTGAGCATAAGGTTCTCCACTGCTCGTCGAAGGAGAAGATACGCACCACTTTGGAGTTGGAGAAGAAACCGGGATGTGCAACCAAACCGTTAGTTTAACGACGGAACAAAGAGAACAATCATCGTCACCAACACAATTTCACACCTCCCCAACAACTCCACCATTGATTCATTGATTAGAAGAGTTTCTTCTTCTGAGAGTGTGTGCACACAATATGGGCACTGATAGCCACGGGTACTCTCTGCTGAAGGATTTGAGATTAGAAATTGAAGTAAAGGATGGAACTTTCTCTCTCTACTTTTGGGTTTATTTGATGAGTTCAGCTACATTTCCTGCTACCATTATCCAACAGGTAAAAAAATATTGCCTTTTCTTCTTTTGGTTTTTTTTTCTTCTTCTGCTGAACCCGTCTTTTGTTTTTTGCAAGAATGTAAAGTTTCGATCTTTCAGCATTTCGTTAGTTTTTTTTTTCGTTTTGTCTGTGTTTATTTCAGATTTTATAGAATGGCGGTTTCCTTTCATTGTGAATTTATGTAATTATGGTTTTATGGCACTTGGTGTTTTTTGTTTTGGTCATGTAATTTTGATAATCTCGAACAAATATTTATGCTATCTGTTCTGTATGAATCAGGCATAAGAAACATGCAAATTCTGGAATTGTTTATACGTTTCTCTGCCACTGCAGAGCTCCATGATTCCTTGCGGTTGTTATGGGTCAAGTTAGTGTTAGGCCTTAACGGGTTCTCAAGATATTGTACTTTTGAGTCTCGGGCGTTAACCACTTTCAGTTGCTAACTTTCTGTAGGGTACCTAAACCTTAACCTTTTTAATTGTTTGAAGGTTGGAGCTTTAATGGGATTAATCCAGTAGATGCAAAATATTTTGTTGGGTTACCAATAGTGGCGGTGTTTCTCAGTGTCTTATTTGCATATTCATGTATTATGTAGATAAGTTAGGAATGTTTTCTTTTCTCTTTTGTATTTCCTTGTTTTATTGTCCTTCTATGCTATCTTTCTTTTTTCTCCGATGTTTTAGTTTGTAGAATGATTGATCTCCAATTTGTGGTATTGTGCTCAATGATCTACTTCAAACTCTAATCCTAATCAGTTTCTTAGATTTTAGAATGGACCTTTTCAATTATTTATGGCTATGTATGATCCTCACATTATGTGATGCCCTTGGGTACATAATTTAATTAAGCACTAACTCACTTAGTTCTTATTACATTGGGGCTTATGCCATAAATTTAACCATGGAACTTATTGAAATAAGCTAAAAAGTGCAAATTGTCATGAGTTATTCTAAGAAACTTAATCAAATAAGTTTAAAAGAGTTATAGGAGTCGTAAACTTCTCAAAAGTCCTTCTATATGCCCCCTAAACCTAAGACTTTCCCAATCCACACCATTTGATGCAATCTTTCTGGTTCAAGCTCAAAGGTTTATGATATTTGACTATGCCACTTTGACATTTTGGCTTACGTACAGAAACCAGATGAGAAAATTGTTTTGTTTTATATCTGCTGTTGTCTTCAATTTACTTTCTGTAGTAATTCTTTTACATTGCATTTCATCATTTCAATACCTTATGGGTATTATACTTTATATTTTATTTAATCATTGAATGTACAGATAGATAAATTAATTGGGCATGCAGGTTTATTCTGATATCTCCGAAAGTGCTCCTTTTCTGGTTATTAATGATAATAAGAGAATCAATATGCTACCAGTTCTTCTCTTACATGAAGAAGCTCCTGATACTGGCAATATAAATTCCTGGGCTGACATTTCACATGCAACTGTTGATTTTGAGTTTCCTTTGGAAAAATGGGTTCATGTAGGCTGTGAGGTATGCTATATAATTACTTGAGGATTACCTATTTTCAATTCTTTTATATTTTTTGTTTGTCACTTTTTCTTAGCTACGATATCATGTTGCTTACTATTTATTATATAATGCATTGACGTTAATGCATGTTTAATTTTCTGCATGACATTGATTTTTCATATTTGCTTTCTGAAATTTATGAACATGAGTAAATAATAGAATGGAAACAGAAAGAAATTGCCTTACGGTCTAACAAGTTTGTGCCTTTCCCTGAAAGAGCTTTGTAACAAAAATGGAAACTTTCCTTCCTGCTACTTGTAGACTCTACTCTAGCCCTTTCTGATATTCTTTTTTTATTTAATTGGAATATGACATGGCTATCTTTTGTGTCAGGTTTGTCCAGATTATATCCAGCTTAAGATTAACGGAAAGATTGTAGGAGAAAAGTCTCTGTCTTCCTTATTAAATAAGGAAGATGGTTCAAGTGATTTGAAGAAATTAACTTTGGCAAATGTTGGTGGAGATGGAAACTGTGTGCAGGGTTATGTGCACAAATTTGAAATATTGCCTATTGTTTCTTCTGTTAAGGAATTCCATTTAAAGGTGATTGCTTGATTGTTATTTTTGTTCCTGAAATTCCATGTTAGTGTCTCATTTGTTTGTACTTTGTCTTAGTCTATCAGAATCTGTGCAAGACTTTATTAGTTTCTTTCTTGACGACTCTGTATTACCTGATGGCCAGGACCCTCCTCTGAAGTTATCAATTGATGAATCGTCTGCCTCTGATATTGAAGAAGAAAGTGATGGTGTTTGGAGCATTGTTGGTGGCAAGGTAAGAAAGATGTCTTATACAAGAATACCCTGTAAATCTTATTGCATTGATTTTTATTGTCATGAATCATGAAGAGAGAGCTCCCAGAGCAAGCCTTGCATTTTCTGTTGAAGTGTTAAGACAAAAGTTCAAATATGACAAACAAAATAGAAGATGGAGAGAAATGACTATTATGTTTTTAGTACTTGCATGAACATATTATTCTACTTCTGAAAAATGCGACTATTAATGTTTACTCTTTTTTTTAATGTCAACTTTTCCTTTGCATAACTTGGCACAGGCATCATGTCGTAGGAACTTCTCTTTGGATGTTGTTCTTTCAGATGCCTTTGGACAGCCCGTAGATAAGGAGAATGAGGTTTATAAACATGACTTTTAGAATTCATAGGTTAATACTCCCTACTTGGAAAGGTGTAATGATTTGTAGTATTCACATTACCCCTTGCTGATGGTAGCAGGTTTTTGCATCACTTCTGTATGCTGACACGGGGGCACCAGTGGAAAATACAACTGATGAGGAAGCACCCCTTTTAGCTAGCTATGATGGAATTGAATTTTCTTCTTGTGAAAGACCAAGTAAACTTTTGTTGGGACGTGCTTCGTTTAAGCTCAAAATATCTCAGGTAAAGACACCCTGTATGAATGTTGGCTTATGCTATCTTCTCTAGAGAATTCTTTCCTGTATGCTTTGGCCTATGTTGCAATGGAGTGATGGACAACCATTCATGCTTATACTCTTTACCGTAATTTCAAATGCTGTCTTTATTTTTCGTAGTGTTTGACAGACATAGGCACCAGGCTCATGCAGAAAGCATGAAAAACATCCTATAAAGTGCAATGGTGAAGCAAAACCATACATGAAACAGTGTTATCAAATAGCATCCATTCTATAAGACATGTGGAGCATGGTATGGTGACTTATGGTGGTCAGAATGTGTGGTGCCATGCTGGAAAAGAATGAATTTAGTTTTTTTTTTTTTTCCTTTTTAGGTTAAAGAGACTTAAAATGTCCCAAGCCCAACCCCTTATGACTTTTTTCTTGGAGCTCACTCTCACATGATTCTTATTTTGAACAGTAACTGTTAGGTATCAAGTAAAACTAAAGTGGAAATCTGAAAGTATGGTGTATTATATGTGTATACGGGTCTGAAATGAAGATCATATTTTGTAGTATAGAAATGTTTTCAATATAGAGACTCCAGGAAAAAAGACAAATACAAGTCCTTAGGCACTTCAAGAAACTCTGCCAGCTCCCAATTCTACTAGTTCCAGCCTAAAATCCTCCCCTGTTACCACTCTGCTCTTTTATCCCTCTACTCTGTGGCATGTATTTGCCACCCTCACCCCCATCTTGCATGCTACCCCTAAACTAGTGGTTACCTCTTTCTTTCCTTGCTATGATCAGGTGCCATGTACTTTTTAGCTTCCTAACATACACTTTAGTAATAACAAGGTCCCTTTAGGCTCCTATGAGTAACATGCTGATTATAGTCTTCCATTCTTGGAAACAGCTGATTTTACAATTAATAAGAATTCCTCGTTCCTCTAAGTCATGTAACCCTCAACTTCCCTTTTCTCTCACTTTGATAAGAACCTTGGGAGAACCACACCACAAAGGTTCCATCTTCCATTCTTGGGAACATGCTAGGTAATTGCAGTAAAGAGCCTACTTAAGATGTCTAACAGGATCCAGACTGAGACAATGGCCAGGCCAACATGGTTTAGCTTGGGTATAGTATTGCTACTAGAATGATGCCCTTTAAGGCTCTATATGGTAGAGACCCTCCTATCCTCCTTAAGGGGACCCCTATACCCTCTAAAGTTGAGTAAATAAACCAGCTCATGACAGAAAGATTCTGTTTTGAAGGAATTGAAGGAGAATTTGACAAGGACTCAAGAGATGAGACAACAAGCAATATAGGAAGAGACAAGAAATCGAACTGTAGGAAGGAGACTTGGTGTATTTGAAGCTACGACCTTACCGACTGAGATCATTGGCTAGACGCATCAATGAGAAACTGAGTTGACATTTCTATGGTCCCATACAGTCCTAGAAAAGATTGATCAGGTAGCCTATTGCTTGGAATTGCCAGAACACAGCCGACCTGGTCTTTCATGTTTCATTGCTTAAGCAACCCATTCGAGAGCATATGACATCTCACCCCTTACCCACAGTTTTAGCAGAAGACTGGGAGTTACAGATGGAGCCAGAACAAGTGCTATACAGTAGAGAAACAGAATCAGGAGACCTGCAAGTCCTCATCCAGTGGAGGCAGCTACCCACATGTAAAAATAGTTGGGAATCTGCAGCTAAAATTCAAGAAATCTTCCACAATTCCACCTTGAGGACAAGGTGCAACTCCCATTGATACATGTTTACATTAGGAGAAATAAAAGCTGTAACAAGGGATAATTTCCCAAGTTAATAACAGATAGGCAGGATAGTTAAGCCTATAAATAAAATGTAACAAGGGAGAATAAGGTAGGAAAAGTTCAAGAAGTCTGTAATTGGAGTGATCATTTTTTAATGCCCTCATAATTACACTGTTATAATATAAAAATTTACAGAAATAAGGTAACAACACCTTAAAATCAAATTCTCTCAATTTGAAAATCAAAAAACTTCTAGAGAGAGTAGATATTTATTTTTGAGATGTTTAATGTGTAGACCATTTTGTTTGTTTTGATGGTTTGTGCAACACGTTGAGGTACAGTCCTCAAGGTGAGTCCATGCAGCTTTGATTTCATATATGTGCTTTGCCATGGTCCTTTCTCAGTAATGAGCATGTTTTACTTTTACTTGGCCATTTAGAGACATACGGCAGAGGATGTGCAGTAATTATAACATTGTATAGTAATATATTATAATTTACCATATCACTCTGTTTACCACTTTACCTTAGCAGGCGTTTGTTTCAAGGTTTTAATTTACATTCCTGGGAATATTCAGATGGGTATATAACATTCCAATGTTTGTTTCAAGTTATGTTAAATCATTCCCATCTAAAATGTATTCTCAGGCTTACGTTTTGAGCATTATTTCTATCGATGCATTCCCATCAAGAGAAGTGAGTATAGTTTATTCCCATAGGAATGATTAAAATCTTACAAGAATGGGCAGTGGGTGGTTATAGTGAGCGAAAAAATGAAAAATTTATATTTTTTAGGGGTATTTTTTTTGTTTATGTTACATATTCCTGAGAATAAGTTTATAAACAGTACAGATACCAAACATGGACATAATATATTTTTCAAAATATCATTTCCTGATATCTTATTCCTGGAAATGTAGCATTTTTTACTGAAACAAATGCAACCTCAATCTAACAAAAATTTGTACATGGAGTGGTGCTGATAAGAAACAATGATGATGGTTTGATATGTTAGATTGATTTAAACGGTAGTACAGTCATTTAACATCAATTTTAGTGTCAGCAAATAAGCATGTTTTATTTCAAATTCACGTTGGAGCACTATGTTTGGGTTAACTTTACTCTCTTTTGGTCTACAATTTATGCACATGCAATTAATTTGATTCCAACATTTCTTGGCTCTGTGTAACTATTCTTCCATTTGCCAGCTTTCATCAAAGTGTGATAACAGGTTGTTCCTCATCAGATTTTGTGTTCCAACTCTAGGAAATTATCCTTTCCTTGAGACATACTCCCATCCAATTCGATGCATCTCCAGGAGCCGTAACACAAGATTGTCGACACTGGTGTGGAAAAGGTCAACTTCTGCTCTTAATCGCCTTAGTTTATCTCAATCTTCAGCTCTGGATGATGGATCATTGGAACTTCAGCATTCTGGTCATGAAGCAAAATCCAATCCACTCATGAAGCGGTTTAGACTTGGACAAGACAAAATATCTGTAACAGTGAAGGCTGACCCTACCATAGAGCAAACTGATGAGGAATGTAATTCTCATATCCGAACTGCTAGTCAGGTGCATACCTGTTTTATTTTTCAATCTTATTTTATCTTATGCACATATAAATAAAAGGATTACATTAAAAAAACACAGCAAGTGGTGAGAGGCATGTGCGTTGATGGCCTACCTATTGGGTTATAGCTTTCATGGCTAATATACAAAAGTTGATACTACAGTCAGCACAGGCTGATGTGATCTCCATAGACAAAATTGAACATCACATTTTTTCCATAAGCTTTTCCAGATGTGTTCATCTAATACTTTTATATTTTAATTTTAGTGTACATGTTTGGACATTTTAATGTATGAATTTTGTAACCGGTGCTCTCCAAACAATCAGTGATGAATGTAAGAAGGGGCAAGAAGGTCAAGAAATTTATTTTTTATATATAGAGATTTATTTTTTCTCAAATAAATTATAACGTTGTCATTGTTGTAATTATTAATACAATTATATATGTAAAGGTCAAGAAAATAAAGATACTTCTAAATAGTAGTTGTGTTGTATTATACTTGTGTCAAACATGTATGTTAGACAACCCTACGTGGGTGTTTTGAATATTTCTAACTATGGTAGTTAGTATTGCACGATTCACGATTCGATATGTGCGGTTCTACAACTGAAGGATACAGATTGCAGGGAGTATTGGTTTTGTTCATGAATCGCTTGAATTATCCAAATCGTTGCTGAATCAAGATTCTCATGAGCAGCGTACAATTCTGTTGCAAACCGGTTGCACATCAAGTGAGTCAAGTTGCACGTGATCCAATTCACTAAAAATCATAAATTTTTATTTTATTTTATTTTATTATGCAAAATGTGAGGGAAGCTTCTGATACTCCCTTTACAGTGAGGCCCACTATTATATTTTAGAGAAAAACCCTTAGTTTCTCACTCCCACGGGCTCTACTCCTCATCTCCACAATGTTTGCTACTTTTACCTTTGTTTCCTAGTGCATTATTGTGGTTCTCTCAACTTCTCACTCCCTTTTCAAGATTCTGATGGTCCCCTGCCTGTTCAACGGTTCTACCTATTTTCTATTTGTCTTCTCCTACTCTTTTCGCTTATTGTTTACTGTTTCAGGAGACAAATGGGTCCTACTAAAAAAACAAAAGAGTGATATTACGTGAAAACACTATGAAAGTGTCCCCCAACATAGGCTGGTAGTGAAATGCAAATATTGTTCTCATATTTATGTAGTCAAAGCCCCTTTCTTGTGTCGTGACTGATTTGAGGGTATATGACTGATTTATGCAGTCACAACCCCTTTTTGGTGTCATTGTAGTTGATGTGACTTTAATCTTTGTACTATGTTTTATTTTATTAATTATACAATGAAGTATTTGCTATAAAATGTCAATATATGGATGAATTTAATTTTTCTTTATGTTAGAATATATTTTATTATATTTTTAGCAATTGGTTATGAATCTTACAATTTACGATACAATTCAATTCGCAATCCAAAAAATAGATCTTCTAATTTATGATTCAAATCTCGATTTAACTACCATATTTCTAACTGGATTTTATACTTTTTTGACTTCTATTTTGTAACCCTTCTTCCAACATAAATTGACATACCACAATAATTAGTCACATTCCACCATTTTATTATGTCTACAATGACTCATCCTTATTTTTAAAATATGAATTCTCTCGTGATTTAAATTTTTATTGTTATTTTAAAATTAATTTCATATGCTGTGCCGTCTATATAGTTATGACATGTCCTATGACTTTTAAATGTCATTTCCATGTCTGTGTCATATGTTGTATTCATTCTGTCTACATCAAAGTTTATTTATTTTCAATCCCTTCCCCTGACATTTTTTGGATCTGCCCTTAAAGACAAACCAGGACCTTTGTTAAACAGAGTCCTGACCTGTGAATAGTGAAAATAGAACAAATCATATCACTTTATAGATTTGAGGGTACTAACTCTATATAGCTTAAAGCGTAGGAAAAGGCCTACATTATTTTTCTTTTATTCTCCTCTGATATACCACTTCATGTATTAATGCCAAAGTATAGACAAAACACAGGCCAATTCAGACGTGCAAAGAATTTATTAATCCAGGAGAATAGTTGGCGGTAAATATCAAGATCTTGACCACTTAGTTAAACATTTTTTATATTGTATCAAGTAGCCAATTATACATTCAGAAAAATGCTTTGGAGTGATTTTAATTTATGTTGGACACAACCTATACTCTCTCTAATACCAATTTGATATCAAGTAAATGATATTCTAAATGAAAAGATTTCAAAGTTACTGGTGTAACCTGGACTATTGTTTTACTTTTCTTATGTGGTATACCAATGATTATTGACATTTCCTTTAATTATTCTATTAAGATTTTGTCTTAAAGGGGTCCAATTTTCTGTCATTCTCTTTTAACTATTCCTGCAAATTTATTGAAAATTAGGTTGAGAATGGGTTTCCAACAAGCTTGGATGGAAGACCTGCAAACTTTTATGAAGCAGATGACTCTCCATCCGACTCAGAAAGCATAGGGGAGGGAATTTCAACTTTGAATAGCATGGAAAATAGAAGATATCCAATATCTGACATGACCATTTTCAAATACTGCTTGGCAAGCTTGTCTGAGAGATCTCTCATGCTTAAGGAAATTGCTACCTCTGCTTCGGACAATGAAATTTCAGAGTTGGCTCATCATGTATCGCTCTATTCTGGATGTTCACACCATGGGTGAGAATATTTTTCTTTCAGCAGTTAAATTGCATTACTTCCTCATAAAGGACAGTAGCTGGGCATAGTTGCTAGTGACTAGAAAGTTGTGCCAATAATCAAAGATGTTTATGGAAAATTATATTTTGAATCTTACATCTTTATCAATTCTGAAGTTAAGCTGTTTTGTCCTCTTCTGTTTCAAATATAATATTAACTCACTACCAGTATCATCTATTCAATTTTGCCACTGGTACTGCATATGATAACAGTCAATGACCAACTTTTCTAAGAGCTTATCTCGTTAGGTGAAGGCTTGTGTATGACTTTATTACATTTCCTAAATCCTAACATACACCTCCCAGCAAGAGCCCTTTGGGCTTCAAGTGTAAACAATGTTAAGGCCTGCTTTTGCTGTGTCCTGAAATTTAACTTTTATTTAAGAGAATTGAAGAGGGGGAGGGAGTTAGGATTGAACTCTTGACCACTTAATTATAGTGTCTGTTATACCATGTCAACGACCAACTATCCTGAATACTTAAACTTTAAGGTGAAGGCTCATGAATGGATTTGTTGCATTCTAGAACAATACAAATAACTATAGCAACCTGACATCTGGACCGATTGCTTGTTTCGATTGATGAGAGCTTTAATGCACTGAATCTAAATCCAAGTTGAATGTTCTGGCTAATAGCTTTTATTCCTTCTCCCTTCTATCCTTCTTATTTGACTCGACACAAAATGTTTTTGTTTTCTTAAAGGTTTATTCAATATAATTAATTGTGCATTTACTGCAATTACCTAGCATGTTCCTCTAACTACTGGCTCTGCTTTTGTATCAGAAACCAAATATTAATGGCCAAGAGATTGATAGAAGATGGAACCAATCTTTGGAAGTTGATGTCTCCAAACAACCACCACATTCCTTGGGAGAGTGCAGTCTACGAGATTGAAGTGCATTTCAAGAAGATTGCTTCTTGTGGCTTAAGATCTCTCTCACCTCAGGTCTTATTTTTTGTTTTACTTCTTGAGGGAAAGTTACTGTCATCTTTTATTGAAGTTACTATACCTCAACATAAATAATTTTTCATAAAAGTTACTGTTTGTAATAAATCATTTGGGTAACTCAAGAGTTGTGTAACTAGAATTACATTTCAGGGGCACTAATTAACACTGTAAAATGCCATAAATACAATATTGTTTTGAGTTTTGAGCATTCGGACATTGTTATTTATTGAGACAAAAGTAGCTAGATGAGCTTAAATTCATGTTTTAGAGCTAAGCCTTTGCATTTATTTCTTTTCAGGAGAGTATGTACAATCATTTAAGCTAATTCTTGTCAATGTCATAATTACAAATTTAAAAAAATACTGAATGGAAAGACAAAAAAAAAGTACAATTGTTAGTGATCTTTGGGTTTTGAAAGTATGAAAACCTTAGAAAAATAGCTTGTAAAAATCTCATATTCGGTAATTGTTCCAGGACCTAGAGCTTCTGAGAAGGATTGCAGGATGTCAAGAGTATATAACACCCGAGAACTTTGAGAGGTTGTGGTGCTGGTTGTACCCTGTAGCTTTTGTAATCTCTAGGAACTGGATAAATTCTATCTGGAAATCAACATCACCTAAGTGGATAGAAGGATTCATAACCAAGGAGGAGGCAGAAGCTTCACTTCAAGGTCCTACAGGTTTTCAAGACCCTGGTACCTTTATACTCCGGTTCCCCGCCTCCAGAAGCTGGCCCCATCCAGATGCAGGTAGCCTCGTTGTCACTTATGTTGGCAATGACTACAAACTTCACCACAGGCTACTTTCCATGGATCATATCTATAGGTAAGCTCTATTTCTTCTTTATAGAATGCATAAGGTCTACTTTTATGGATGTTCCTAAGGCCATCATGAATGCCATGAGGGAGAGTTGAAGTATTGACCTTAAGAATTATAAAATTTTGCTTCTTTTCATGCAGTTCTGATATGTCATAGACTGAGAATGTTGGGAATCAAATTGCGGTTCAAATGGACTTCAGATGAAAAAATTATGTTTTTGTCCCCATTTTGGCTATTTACAGCTTCAGGATGATGATCAAATTATTACAAAATAATTGATAAAATTCAATCTAAAGCAAGTTTGGATAAACTTCTCAATAAACTCTTACGAGAAAAGAAAATATAGTGAGTTAAGAAAGTAAAATGAATCAAACGTTTCCCTAAGTTGAAATCAACTTACGCACCTGAACTTATTAAACGAAGAGAATTTCTAAAACGTTGAGGTGCATAAGTCTGTTTTAACTTTTGATTCATTTTATTTCTTTCCCTTGAAGTGTTTGTTGAAAAGTTTATTCACGTTTGGCCTTAAATCACAAAATTTGGGACAAGAAGGATCAAATTCTTGATTCTGTCAAATACCAACTGTCAAAAGATTAAGCTATTAGGTGAAGGCCCATAATGGTTTTATATCTCCTACAACGTTAATTGATCTGTAATGACTGATCATGCATTTAATTTGGAAATTCAATCTGTAGCTTAGCATCTACTTGTCAGGTTGGAATACATCTTAGCATACCAGTTTTTGCCATGGCCATACTATTGATATTAATTAGTTAACAAAACACGCATGCGCACTCGCACAGGGAATATCTAGTGAGAAAAGCAATTATTCAAGAGATTGTGATTGGAGTGACTCATGAATTTTGGAATTTTCATAAACAATTAAGAAAATGATGCCTATCACCTGATCATTTTGAAAACATACATAATTTTAATCATACCATTATTTAAGGATCCCATGAACATGATGTAATCATCTGGTTCTCAAAATTAGTTGTCATAATATATGTACCCTATGTGTATAGACACAAACACAATGACTGACATATACACACTTTTAAAATATGGTATCCTTAACTAAAATAGTTGCCACATTTCTTGTTCTTATAGCTCCAGTGATGGAATTGAGGTGAAACCACTGCAAGATATGCTAATGGCAGAACCAGAGCTGTCTCGATTGGGAAGGCAAGATATGAAGCAGTTTTCGTATTGTTTCTGATATATTGAATGCTCAACATTTCTCAATATTTACTGCATTTGATTCATTGGCAATGTTCAGGATAATAAGAAGTCATTAAGCACCACTGGAATTGTCGCAGAATGTCTCTCAACATCAGTTAAAGTTGCATTAATGATGTTTTCGCAAGATAGACATAGAATGGACGAGGCTGGTGGTAGTTGAAATATAGTATATTTTCCATTTTACTTGTATATTTTGAGGTATGGTTTAGGCGTTTTATTTTTAACATTTGGAGCTGATGATCCTTGTATAACACCACATCCATTCATATGTAACCACCATCAATTAAAGCATCGCTCTTTTGTTGTTTAGTTGGCTTCAATCGCTGTCCCTGCCTATTGGTTCATTAATTTTGGTGTTTTCTGAAATTACTATTACTATTACTATGGTATTATTATTGTTGTGTTGAATCTCGGCTTCAAGTAAGATGAGAATTACTTTAGTGTTTATAAACTCATATTTAGTCATATGTTACATTGAGAACATAGAATTATAGGTAAGTACTATTAGGAAAGTTGCAAGACATTAAAAGCTCACTTGCAGGTGAAAATTGTTTTAACTTTTATAAGTTTTTATTTAATCATACTTCTAATAGTTATGGAATGATGTTTTATTTTATATTATTTCATTGAAAATGAATTCAATAAATTCATACTTTTGTGTTATACTAATTATACTTTATATTTTTCTAGCTTAAATAACATTTAACAAGATGGTCATAAGTGAATAACACTTCTAAAAGTAAAAAGAAAAAGTTCATTTTGCTATCTTTTTATTGGGTGAACAAACCACCTTATACACATGACACAAACTAACTTAAGATTTAAATTATATTTTAAATCAACTAACATTCAATTTAGTATGTAATATTTATTATAAGAGTCAAATATTTTACTTTCTAAAATTTTATATTATTTTTAACTTTTTTTTATATCAATCACTTTAATTCTTTAAGTTACATGGTGACAACAAATATTAATAGAATAATGAGGCAACATGTATAATTATTTGTAATAAAAAAATAATTTGATATAATATATATTTTTATTTTATTTTAATTCTTAGGATAGTTAATATCAAATATTTTAATATTTAATTTTTAAAAATTTTCATCTACTATCTTTATTTTTTATTTTTTAATACTACAATTATAAAAAATCACTATTGTCAATCATTATTTGCATTTGCATTTTTGCGGGCAATAAAAACATATATCACGCATAGACATAATTTTTGTTATACAATTAATAATACAGCATTTATGTAGATGATGTGTGAGTGGAAAAACTAAAGAGATGAACATAAACAATAGTTAAGGACTAAAATGAAATTTTTAAATTTTTAAAAACTAAAATATTTGACACTTTCAATCTCAAAAAATAAATTAAAAGTTTAGCAATTTTGAATTTAATGATATATAATTTCTTTTTGCCTTATGTCCTTTGTGTCTTTGTCCAAGATGATACTTGGTGGTTTATTTATTACACTTGCGCTCTAGGGTAGGTGTGTGTTGTTGTAGTCCATTATTGAAATGACTCATGATAAAAATAAAAATAAAAATAAAACCACCATTTTAAGGATGTCAAATCGGGTCAATCTTTCACAACTAGCTAAAAAATAAGTTAGCTCATGGTGTTCCATTTTTTCAAAGTGAGCTAGTCTAATTTGTTTAAGAATAAATTAACAGGCTAGTAGATTAATACGCTAAAGGTTAAAAATAAAAAATGAGTTGGTAACTTAGCAAGTTAATAGATTAATTCATCCAAAATTAAATAAAAATTTATAAAAAACATTAACAAAATATTTAATAATATTTTAATATTAATAAAAATTAATATTTAATTAATAAATAATTATTTTTTATTCTTAAAAATTTTAAAATGAGACAAGTTAAAAGAGTTAGCATGCGGAGAATCTTTCTAGCGATCCAGCCTTTAGAGGGTTCCAAACCTAGCCTTCCAATATGAGAGCGAGACAAGCAAGCGTCACTTCCGTCATTGGATGTGGATGGGTTCAGATTGCTGTTACTGGCAATTTAAGGAATTACCCCTTCGCCTCGCCAAGGCCTTGATTCGCCTGACCAGTGAAAGACCCTAGGAGAAGAAAAGAAGGTCATAGTAGCTGCAACTGGTGTGATAGTCCTGTAAGCATCTGTCGAATGAATTATTATTCAACTAAAGCTTTCGCCTTTATGCCGGTCAGCTCGGAAGATTCATAGGAAGTATGCCATCAAAAGAAAAACGGTTTGATGAACCGAGAGTTTCGGGAGTTGGGGGCCACACTGAACCTGAAAAGCTTAATTTGTATCCCAGGTATTCTCAGCTTGTGAAGCTACCCAGCATGAACACGCTTTCGGTCAGTCCCACAGCACAGAGAAGAGGTCCTTAAAGAATAAGGAAGCGAGACTTTTGACAAGAAGAATAACGGACTCTCATGAGTCTCAGCCTGTCTCCCGTAACAACGGAGAGATAAACTAGGGCACCAAGTGCGTACGGCCCGTCCTATCTTTTGCTGATGCAACAGTAATAGGTGCCGGTTGTGAGGCAGCAGCGTCAGCAGCACGCTGTGGTTCTTCTACTCTTCTTATTACTAGAAAACCAGATCCTGTCATTTTAAACAAGTTATGTAGGCCTTGTCTAAATTAACACCCCTGTATATTTACAATGAGAGCACTCCTTCTCGAATCAAAAACTCATCAACTCAAAATTTATTTGGTGCAAGATTTTAATTGATAAGTTTAAGTATATTTTAAATGACACTTTTTTTTAAAGTAATTGAGCATTTTTATTTTAAAATTAAAAAATTAATTACATAATGTTTGGTTGATAGGTAGAGACGGAAGTGAGAGATTTTAACGAAGGGAAAAAAAGAAGAGGAAAGAAATATTAATAAGGTGAGTTGTATAAAATCTTTGAATTATTTTTTAATATTTATATATTTTAGAGTTTGTGAATGAAAAAATTCGGAGGATATTATGGTTTATAGAGAGAGATAAATTTTTTACTTTGACTGAAATATGATAATTTAGATATAGTGAGTTTTAAGTAAAGGAAGGTTTTAAACAGTTCAGTTAATTCAATTTGCAAAGATATTTTAAATAGAAAATAAAAATATAAAAACTTTTATAACGGAAAATTCAAATCAAAACTAAAATTAACTAGTTTTAAAAATAAAGCAATTCAATTAATTTGAAAAAAAAAAAAACTTGACAACACAATCACACACTATGCAAATTAAGGGAACTAAAAATGCAATTGACTCATAAGTTTAACTTACTCTTTTAAAAAATAATCGTTGCCTTTTAGAGAGATTTTCTAAAATAATAATTACTTTTCTAAATATAAACATTTCAAACATGCACCTAAATTGAAAATAAGGAAACTTTTACTTTATAGGCAACCTAATTTTTCAAGCTTCCCTTCACCTTTTCCATCGGCAGATATAACGCACATTCATAAAATTCAGTTGGCAAATTGAATTACAACTAAATAATTGTCAGTTTTTTACAACAACAGAAATGTTGTTTGTGTTAAAATTTTGTACAATTTTTGTACAACATAAAGAAATTTATTGTTGTAAAAAATTATAATCAAAATTTGTTGTGAAAATATTACAACCACTGTTATAAGCAGAAGCCAAGCCACTACCAATGTAGTTGGTCACAATCATGTGCAAATCTCAAGTAATGTGTCCCCATCTCTCAATGTATCTGTAATTTTCAGCTTCTTGTTAATGTATCATTTATGCTTACCTTGGCCTTATAACAAGCTAAGCCTTCAACTCTGGCTTGCACCCACTTATTTACTCCAAAAAAGGTACACCTTTCTGATCTACAAAACTACCACACTCACTCACTTTCTCTTTTCATCTTTCTGATTCAATCACAATCACTAAAAGTTAGTTTCACTAGTTCAGGAAGCATCACCATGATGCATAAAGTGCCTACTCTTCTTTACTTCATGCTCTTATGTCTCACATCAGGTATGTCTCAAATTTTGCTCCAAGCACTTTATGAAAAATAAACATAAAATTTAAGACTTTTGGCGACAGTTTTTGTTATTATTCGTGGAAGAGAGAAGACATTGACTTTAGTTTCTCAAATTGTGGTTTGATTTTTATGGTTGGGTTTTTAATTAGTTTCTATCTTGATATCAACCATTTGTATTTGAATTTTAGTAACAACGGTCATCCCTTGGAAGTGACCTTAGAATGGGTTTATTTTAATGTGTTACATCCACCTAACTTTTAAATTACGCTTGAGTTTTCCTAACTAAAAAAGATTCAATAGCTAATATTAGAATTATAATTATTTTTTACTCGGCTAAGATTATAAGGTATTTATGTAGCATTAATTTGCATCATCTAAATCCTGTACTTGCTTCTTGATTATTGATTTCCAGGAACATATGGTACAGTATTAGTAATACAAGTTTCTTTTGGGATTTTCACGTAATTATGACTTAAATTAATTTATGCTCATAATCTGTTGGAGAAGTTAGATGAGAAGGCTTAAAAAAAACTTCATGTCCTTGTGAGAGAAGTTTAATTTATTTTAACTTCTTATTTATTTATCATACAAGTACTTGTGAAGAAGTTTATCTAAACTGAACTTATATGGCATAGCAAGTTGGTCAGTTATCAATTTTAAGTCTTCAAATTACGAGTAACAGGACTTACCATTTCCACATTTTTTTTTAATTTTACAAATGCAGGAGGAAATCTCTTTATGGCTTATGGACAGGTAACTATAATAAAATTCTACTAGTGCCTTCAACAGGAAATTAGTTTGCATTCTAACTGAAGTCAGAATATTTATCTAATGAAATCACAGAGAACATGGTGTTTGGCTAAGCCTTCATCAGATCAGGCTACCCTTTTGGCTAACATCAATTATGCTTGTTCCCAAGTTGATTGTCGGATCTTGCAAAGAGGAAGCCCTTGCTTTGCCCCTGACAATCTCTTGAATCATGCCTCCATAGCAATGAATCTCTATTATCAGTCTAGGGGAAGAAACCATTGGAATTGTGATTTCAGAGGTTCTGGCCTTGTTGTGGTGACTGATCCTAGTAAGTTACCTTTTGAAAACAAATTGATATGTTTGCTTTGACTTTATGCTAAAAGCATCTTTTTGTCAATTTAAATTGCAGGTTATGGTAGCTGCATTTACCCATAGATATTGCATGTGATTGTGCTAGCTCCTTGGTGGCAATATTTAGGTGTGCCTTTGGTGCTGCTGCTGTAATCCTCTCCTTCAACTTGTGGCCTTTTCCATGCTATAATAAATCAAATCAAATCTGGTCTTTGCATTTTTATCACTAATTTCTTGAAAATGTTACTAATTCTGGTTAGAGAACAAGCAAGAATGAAGAATTTTAAATTTTCTTAAGACGTTTGTTTTGGAAATTCACACTTCAAATAAATAAAAACATGAGAGGGCTGTCAATTTAGTTTCATACAATGAAAATTAGTAAAACTATTCTTTGAAGAACTATTGCATACTTTAAAACTCATGATTTTTTTTACCAATAAGTCAATATCATTCGAAAGTATAATTTACCTTTACGTATTAAATTTAAGTCTACATTATTAAAGGAGAGTATTTTTGTAAATTTTTTTTGAATGAGGACATATTTTAGAGTTATTATTCCTTTTCATTGTGTCGTGTGATTTCTCCCTGCATTGAGCACTTTACCTTTTTTAATTGAATTATAATTTAAAGTTTGAATTTCAATTTTTTATAATTTATTTATTAATTTTTTAAAAAAGTTTACTTCTTTAATATGATATGTAATATAATTGAATATATATTTATTATTCATGATATCACTATTTTTATTTTGTAAAATTTAATAAATTAAAAAATAGTAATACAATATATTTTTAAGATTATTTATCTAAAAATAATTTAAATTTGATAGTATTTACATAGAATGAACTGTATAATTCGTTGAAAAAGTCATGTGATACCTTAAGTCACTAGAAAGGTCTTATAAACTTAAGAAATTAATTATGTAGTTATATACACAAATTAATAATAATGTCCTGTTATTACATTAAACTTTTATTATAACAATTTAAAATTGAAAAAAATAAAACCAAATATAAAATAAGAAGACAAGAAAATTTAATCTTTTGTTAGTATTTTCAGGAAAATATAAATTTTAAATTTTAAAGTTGAGTTTAAGCAACTAACAATAGTAGGATTTTATTTTTTTAAAATGTTTATCACAATATATCTCAGTAAAAAATTATTACTTTTTAATGCTAAAACTTAGCATTAACGATTAAGATTAACGAAAATTATTTTTATAACAGTTCAGAGTACATTTACTGGAACCACAGTTGAACACTCAAATTTATTTATTGAAAAGAAGATACGAGAATCATAATCTAGCTCCATAAGTTTTTTCAAACAGACCCTAAATTGATTTGCTAAACACTTTAATTTGATACAACAAATACTACATATCCAAACATATATGTAACTAATACGATGCTTAATAGACCGTTTAGTACTCAGGTTCACCCCTACAAGCACAAAGGGTATTTGAAGGATCTAACTTTATGAGTTTGGAGTAAGACAATTATTTTACATATTACACAAAGCGTACCTCTTCATATGACTGATATATCAGAGTTTATGGAAAATGATTTGCGCCCCATGTTTTGGCTGGAAACTTAGCAAAGCAGTAGGAGCATGTGTATAGGAAGGAGATAGCACAAATGAGAAATTTTGCAAAAGCAATGATAACACCATCTTCGCTTCCAACAAGGCAAAGTTTTGACCAACACATACTCTAGGACCCCATCCAAATGGGAAATACGAAACTTTGCCTTTTGTTGCCTTTGCAATTCCTTCAGAGAACCTTTCAGGATTGAACTCCTTTGCATCATCACCCCAAATATCACGATCTTGGTGAATACAAAGTATTGGTATAGAAACTCTTACTCCTGCTGGTAGTGATAGGTATCCAAGATTCATATCCTTTTGAAGAGATCGAACAAAGTAAGTTGGAGGATATAACCTAAGAACCTCATAAAAAATCATGGTTACCTACAAAAGAAAAAGTTCTGATAAAAGTTAGTGCCAAAGCCATTTATAATAATGATAAAATGAAACCATTTGTTGATGATACATACAATTTTAAGGCGACCTAATCCATCAAAGTTTGGACTTTGGTTTCCAAAAACTTGCAAAACTTCCTCCCTTGCCCTTGCTTGCCATTCAGGAAACCTACCTAATAACACCATTGTCCAAACCAGCAAAGATGAAGTGGTCTCTTGCCCTGCCATGTAGAATAGCTTGCATTCTTCGACTACTTCTCGCTTTGTCATTCCAGCATTCCTCAAATTTCCGCGTCCTTGGATTTCATTGTGATTTGATTCCAAAAGTTTGCTTAACAAATCGTCGTTGGCGATTTCTCCATTCTTCATAACTTCCTCTCGCTTTTTAATGATTCCCTCAATTGAATCACACATTTCTCTTTCAATTTTTCTCATCTTCTTGTTGACACTTGATGGTAGATGCCTAAAGATTATGTAAATGGATGAATTATAAAGGAATGGATCTATTTATGAGTGTTAGATTTGTTTTTATCTACGGATTGTGGATGGATTGGATTTCTAAAAAACTAATCTAAAATCGTTTAAAATCTAATTATATAGATTGAATTATAAATTAATTTATTTTAATTTTTTTAAAAATTAGTTTAAATTTATTTTTAAATCATTTTTACATATAATAAAAATATATTATAAATATTTTTTATATTATTATTAAATTATTATATTAAAAAATATTTAAATTTTATAATATATATATATATATAGATATTTTTGTTAAATATCAATATTTATTAAAGATAAAATATGAATACAAGGGTTATTCTAACCCATTACATCTTTAAAAAAATTAATAATACATAACAAAAAAATATTTACGTATATTTTAATTTATTAATTATTTTTTTAATTTTATTTTATTAAAATAATAAATATTTAAATATATTTTACTTTTTATCATCTATTCATCACATAAATAATTATATGAATTAAATTTTAAACTATTTTATTTTATTTTTTTAATCGGTTTAAATATAGTTTAAAATTTAAATTTATTTTAAAATTAATTTTTTATTAAAACTAGTTTTAAATTTAGTTTTACAATGAATTAGTTTTAAATCTAAATTTAAATTTTAACTCAAAACTAATTTTTAATATATTTATAAATTTTATTTTTAAAGTAAAACTAATTTATTGTACAAAACGTTGTATTAAATTAGTACGTTTCAAAAAAGTTTAACAATATTTATTTATAGAAGTATATAAAATATTTATTATTTTTTAATTTATTTTTAATAAATAGAGTTTATAATGAAAGTTTAAATTAAAACTTATAAAAATAAAAATTAATAATGTAAATAATAATAAAATTATTATGTTATAATATTTAAAAAAATAAAAAAAAATATAAATATAAAAATAACAGTAATAACTAATTTAAAAATATTTGTTATATTTTAATATCTTTAATTATTTTAAATATTTAATTTTAATTATAAAAATTAAGATTATTAAAAAAAAATATTAGTAGTAAAATGTAGTTATAATAAAATTTTATAAACTAATATAACGTGAAAATTTAATAAGTAAAAATATAAAATAGTAGCTTTATATATATGAATTTAGATAAATAAATAAAATTTAATTTTAGAAAGTGAATTAGTTACACAAATATAATTAATAAAAAACTCAATTTAACATAGATATAGACTTTTTAAATTAATTTAATATTAATTATGAACTAGGCCTATAAAATTAGATTTTTTAACACCTCTACTTATCTACAATAGATTAATATTCTCTAAGAACATAAACTCTATTAGCAACTTAAATTCTGCATATCATTTTGTGTGCCATATCTCTGTAACAACACGAAACCAGATATCAAATATCTTGTGGATGAGACATACAATAAATTAAAATATGTATGTTACTAATAACAATTTGTAATTATTATTAGAAATATTATTTAGAGTTTACGTGTTATATAATCTTGGACAACTTGGGTCCTAGTCTTCTTTTGGCCAGCTTGAGAGGATTCAGGATAAAGATATCATGGACTTCTAGACATGAAGCACTCCCACGAATAAAACGTTATACTGATAGCCTATCGTCAGCGACAAACTTTCAATTTGTGTTCATATCAAAATGTAAACATATAATTTATAAAACAACTTTGCCATCAAGAACTTAAGTAATGTTAAAAGTAAAAGTTAAAGATTTTATTTAAAATTTAGAGCTAACGAAAAAGAAAGAATTTAAAAAGCATAGGAGAAGAACACAAATGAGAGGAGAAAGAGTCTTTATTTGAATGTTTAATATTTAAAAGCAAGAATAACTAAAAATTAAATATATAAATGATATTATTATTTTTTATATATTTTTTTTATTTTTTAAAATACAAAAATTAAATATTTTTTCTTTAAAAATTAATATTTTTTTAAAAATTCTATTTTTTATAATTTCTTTAAAAAAAATTCTCAAGAAACTCAAAAAATAAAATTAAAAGAATCATAGAATTAAAAAAAGCACTAACTCTTAGCTCCAACTTTAATTAAGTTTCAAAGAGTTGAGATCATTATATCTTTGATTTCATTTTTAAAAAGAGTTAAAATTAAAAAATAAGTATATTTTTTTATTTTAAAAAAAGAAAATTTATTTTAAAATGCAAGTAAACATACTTCTTTTTCCTTTTCTCCCGAAATCCAAACAACGTATTAGAAATAAACAGTAATTAGTTGCTTCAAGGTGAGTGTACTTCCGTTAAAACTAGAACATGCTTAATTCAGATGTCAAATATACCAAAATTAGTGTGTGATCGTGATCTTACTGCAATATTGGTATGGCCTTGTGCCGTTCTTTCATGGAAAGATATCCCTGCATTTTTAGAAGTTCAAATATTTTTGTTCCTTCTGCATAGCTGCTTCCAAATGCTGTTCTAGAAATTACATCACGACTCAAATTCTGAAGGAAAGGCCAAACATCAATTTCACCCGTTCCATCCGATGACAGCATTTCACTCCATGCGCTAATCATATCATGGCAGCTTTGAGAAAATGCTGGTAGCATGTTCTGTAAATTAAGTACGAAGGAAACCATATCATAGAAAGA